CATGGTCTGTCCATGTCATAGTCATGGTGTCTCCTCCTTCAGTCAGGAGGGCTGTCCCCGTCATAGTCATGGTTCCTCCTCCTTCAGTCAGGGGGGCTGTCCATGTCATAGTCTTGGTGTCTCCTCCTTCAGTCAGAGGGGCTGTCCCCGTCATAGTCATGGTTCCTCCTCCTTCAATCAGGGGGGCTGTCCATGTCATAGTCATGGTGTCTCCTCCTTCAATCAGGTGGGTTATTTCACAGTTATGTCTTAAGACAGTGCTTAATAATCTCTAGGTTAAATGTGTGCTTTCACGAACATTTTTTTTTTTCCAATTTGAAGACGCAGAAAAACAAAACAAAACATTAAAGTGACCTATTAGGATTTAGGTCATGAAATGCTATATTATGTTGTTTAATGAATAATTATATCTCAGATAATTCTTAAGTGGAAAATTATGTTTTGAATAAAAAGTAATAAGGATTGAAAAAATCTTAAGTTTTAGTTGAAACAGTGTATTGTCAGTTTTTACCAAAGTTTAACTAATTTATAGATGATATATAGAGATAAAAATATTTATGAATTTTGTGCATTTTCTGGGGATGAAAGTGGCTGTAAATTGTCAGTTTCAAACATTAAAGTTTTTAAATGTAAAAGAGTTTGAGGTTAGTTAGTCAGGTGTGATTGCTCAAAACTCCCATGCTCTGTGGAGACTAATGCAGGAGGATTGTGAGTTTGGGGCTACCTGCCTTATATATTAAGACCCTGTCTTAGAAGCTAAAAACAAACAAACAAAAAACAGCTGAAAAATCTGAGGTTGTGACAGTTTGAAATGTCAGCTTGACATAACCTTAATTACTTGGGATTGTCTGAATGAGGTTTTTAGGTATGTCTGTAGAGGACTGTCTTGAATGCTAGTATTAGTTGATGCTAGAAGATCCAGGCTGCTGTTCACGGTGCCATTCTGTAGGCAGAGGATCCTGGTCTGTGTAAGTGTGGAGAGAGTGAGGATCCTGGTCTGTGTAAGTGTGGAGAGAGTGATCTGAGCACAAGGAAGCATGCATCCTTCCTCCTTTCTGCTCTCAACTCTGTGTGTGATATGACCAGCAGTTCAAGTCCCTGCTCTGTGACTCCCCTCTGCGATGGACTGTAACCTGTAATTGTAAGCTCAAGTGATTTCTCTTCTGAGTTGCTTTATATCAGGATATTTTTGTCACACCAACAGAAAATGGGACAGAGATCGTTCCTTTCCTCTAACCAGAACATAAGTAGAAATACTTGTCATTTGATTACAGGTGAACTAGGAAAAAGATAGGTTTAAGATTAGATTAATCCTAATAGAAGACAAGGGAAATCAGCTGAACATGTGCCAGGAGTCCCTGACAGACTTCTGCTCAAACACTGTCAGTCTGTCTGTCTGCCTGCTTGTGATGATTTGTTTTTGAGATTTCCAGAACTAAAAAGCAACTCTTGGTCTATAGGATCAGCTCTGCATCATTTGTCAACAAACTTCTACCTGCAAAAAGGCTCCCTGGCCATTCTGCCATGGAGACAGATTGCTTCTTTGCTTGTCTCGGGGCCTGGGCTTTACTTCTAGCACCACAGAGAAAGAAAGGCATAATCACAAAGCATCTTTCAAAACTTGATGTGAGGAGTTTGGCTAAGACTTGAAAAGTAGATGCACAGTGACCACAGTTGGGACTGCAACGTTGCATGGTGGTGACTGTGGAAGTGGTCAATGCAGACTTATAGTTGCTGTGCTTAGTCACCATTACATCACTGGTCAGGAGAGACCGTGTCGAGCAGTGAACCCCACAAGTCAGACTGACTGATAGGGACTGGGAGGTTCCCACATTATAGCCCATAATAATCTCTTGTTGATGGGCTCTTGGGAAAAAAAACAATCTTAATGCATCCTTGGCCTTAGCTTAACTGATTCACCAAGCATCTTCAGAAATTAAAAGACAGAAACCTTCATCTTAGGACTCAGGAGCTCACCACTGAATGCTATTACTTATTTAATGAACCCTTTTAATACACTGAAACACAAGAGAAGAAGAAAAAGGAAACATTGTTAATATATCTATCCAGATGAAAGTATTCTGGTCTACCTAAGCTTAATCGAGTAGGTAGGATTTCATCAGTTGCTAATTCCGAAATGGTAAGTTAGTTTTAGTTATTAGAAGAATAACAGATTTTTCAGGTTTTGAGTAAATGAAGTCATAATTTCAGATTATCTTTGTTTTTAAATTTTGTTTTGTTTGGATTCTTGAGATGAAACCATGCTTTCAGATCCGTGGCTTCCTTTGGGATGTACACAGGCAATACTTGAATATCTAGCATCTTCCTTATGAGTATAACTGTTTCAGAAGAGTTTAATTGAGTTGTAAGTGAACTCTGTCCATGAGGTCATTATGGGATGCCTGAATTTTCTGAAACAAGTATACCAATGTTAGAGCATCCAGATAGCTCTTTCAGACTTGCTCGCAGAGGTGTGTGGATATGCCTTTGCTTAGTAAAGAGATGCTTTAATAGGTAGCTGATCCAGTTCAGGATCACTCTGAAAAGGTCCTGTCCCCAATATTCCTTAACTATCAGCTGCAGTGTTTTCTTTCATGACTGTGAGGCTGATGTGACCAGTGGGAGGACCACAGAGTAGCTCCCTGCCCTGGTCCATCCAGTGTCAGGGACTGCATGTTGACTTGCAAATCAGTGCCAGCAACAGGCCAAGGAAATGATGATCTTTGCTGCTGGTACTTGCAGAACTTGGAAGTATCTTTCTCAGGAGCTAGGGTCAGAGGCTTATCATTTGACAACAAACCTCTGTCTGTGAGAAGCTATTTACTAGTCTGAAGTCTTTTAAGACCAGCTTGTACCTTGGCATCAGCTAGCTCACTGTGTTATAATGCTATGTACTGGGCTAGCTGTTTTCTTAAAGGAAATCTAACCCAGGAGGCACAGTTTATATGAAGAAGGTGTTGTATAATAATTGTCACCTTGTGCTCTTACATTGTTACCTGCTTAAAGAATTAGCTTCTTCTTCTTCTTCTTCACTTAATAAGAATGTTCTCTTTCTGATGAGCCATCCTTTGTTTCTTGTGACAGGCAGAGTAATTGTCCTCTGTAAGTTGTCCATGTGATAATCCTTAGAACCTGTGACCGAGGGACCTGGGGCAATTAGGGCTTACTGATATTATTACACCACCTTCATGTTGAAAAGTGCACTACAGTTTAGGTGAGAAAAGCCCAAGCTGCTCAAGGTAGAGACCGTGCTGTCCAGGCTTTCAGGGCTGTTGGACTAATGTGACTGCTGGTTTGAAGATGAAGTAGGCCACGGCCAGGAAACTCAGGCTCCAGAAGCACACTCATGTGTACTTTGCATGTGCAGTACTGGAAATTGAATCCAGAGTCGTTCATGTGCTAGGAATGTGCTCTACTACTGCCCTTAACCTCTATCCGAAGGGTCTATTTTTCTAATACACTTTGAAAGTGGGAAAAAAGGCAGATACAGTGGGATTGAGAGGGGTATTAACTATTTGGTGTGTGTTCTCATTTAAGAGCTGTGTATTCTGCAACTACTATGCATACTGTGTTGCTTAAGCCAGAAAAAGTACAAATATTAATCACATGTGGTTAAGGAGAGCTGTGAGGTAGAAAAGGGCCTAGCCATTCAGTAGAGCTGCCTTGACAACTCATCTCAAAGAACTGCAGAGAAACATATTTCAGAATGGGAATGGAAAAAAGCTTTGAATCAATGGAACATGTGTTATATATGAGATTCTGTTGGTATTTTATATGTAAGACTGGAAGAAGGTTTTATAGGGGTAGTTTGGAATGGTTGATGAGAGCCAGATTGTGAGGGGAAGGCAAAGGTTATGCTTTAATCATTAATTATACATTCTAGCTATAAAACCGGAATGCAGAGTAAATATTTGAGACAAAGTACACTCTGTGGCCAAGTTGCATCATGTGCAATGCTAGAAATTGTATCCAAAGTTTTGCACATGCAAAACTTAGGAAAGTGCTGTACTTCTGATGCTCACCTCTATCCCAAGGTTATATTCTCTAATATACTTTGTAAAGTGGGAGAAAGGGCAAATACAGTTTGATGTCCAGCAAGGGAAAGTCATTTCAAGGTTTATAGAGAAGTGGCTTCAGGAGGACTTCCATTCAGTTGTAGGTATAAGAGTATTGTAGGGCATAGTTGTCAGGAGACAAGTTAGGAGGCTGTCACTGTTGTTAAGAGAAGCGATGAGAATTTGGACTGGGATGGCTTGGCAGTAATAAATAGGAAAGGACTAGAGTAAGGATCTATAAACTTGAAGAAGTAGGATCTATAGTCATGGCTGGCAAGTCTGAGAGTTGGTGCAGATAGTATCAGTCATAGATAGCTATGTGTGTGTGTGTGTGTGTTTGTTTGTTTATTCTTTAAAGCTCTGATGGCTTGGAAGATGGCATTAGCTAGAAGTTGGTGTTTGGGATTAGAGTGGAAAGTCAGGTGTGGAGACACAGTCAAGTTAGTTTTTTTCAGATCAGATGCTACCAGTATGACAAGTAGCAAAACACGCCAGATTCTCATGATAGGAAAGTGTGTTGGAGCTAATGTAGTGTGAATCATCTGTGAAGTTTAACTGTAGAAAGCAAGAAGGTGTGTCCAGTGCCAGTAGAAGAAGAATTGTCAGGGGAAAGATTAGGAGTGTTGGTGTCTTGTTTTTATTGCCACCTTTTAATTAGTCAATTAAGTTTGTAGCCAGGATTTCACCATGTAGCTGACCTTGAACTCCCAAACCTGCTGCATGGATCCGGCGCTGCTGAGATTTCAGGTGTGTGCCAACTTGCTCATTAAGGGTTGGGTAAATCTCACTGCAGGAGAGAGGGTTAATTAGCTACAATGAATGATCACAGGACATTAATGACAACGAGGATGAACTGTAGGTGGTGGCACATGCCTGTGTTCCTTGTACTTGGGAAGTGGATGCAGGTGCATCAGGAGTTCAAAGTCCAGCTTTGGCCAGACCGTGACTTCCATCAAGTGCTGCCTGGGCTATGGAACCTCTTCTTAGTTACTTATCTATTACTATGATAAGATACCATGATGAAGGCAGCTTATAAAAGAAATTGTTTAATTTGGGGGATCATGGTTCCAGAGGGTTAGAACCCATGGCTGTCATGGCAGGGGTCATAGTAGCTGGCAGGTAGTCATGGGCCTGGAGCAGTGGCTCATGTTTTGACCTACAAGCCCAAGCAGAGAGAGCTAACTGGGAGTGGTCTGAGCTTTTCAAACCTCAAAGTCCACCCGCAGTGAATCACATCCTCTAAAAATGCCACACTCACTAACTCTTTGCCAAATAGTTCCACCAACTGGGGACCCAAGTAGTCAAATACATGAGCCTGTGGAGGTGATTTCCCCATTCAAACTAGCATATTTCATGATTAACGCTTGACCAGAGAGTAGTAGTGAAAAAGCAGGGTGGAAGCTGAGGAAGCACAATGTTGGTTGGCCTTCCCGTTTTTATAAAATATAAGACAAGAGATTTCAGTGTCTGGGATATTGCACAAAAGAGACTGAAACACAAAGTCTTGTTAGAGCGACCACTTAAAAGAGATGAATTCTGTTAAGAACTAAGGATTATCTTTTTAATTGACTGCAACTTAGCATAACACTGGTTGTCTCATCAGCTGTAGCAGAATGTTCAAGTAATTGCTCATTCACCATTTGTCACAGTTGTTAGGAATGTGTAATTGTATTGTAGATAAGAATGGATTAATGTGGGAATCAGTGAATTATGTTTTCAGAGTTCTTCTTAAATAGACTGTTGAAGGTGAAAAGCAGTCATTTCATATCTTACATAGATAACAGAGGAATGTGAGGTTTATTTGAAAATTTTTCAAATTTTAATAAAGCAAGGCACTCTGTTAGCCCATGGATGGATATGGTGATGCTATGGGCAGATTTCAGGACGGAGGATGAGAAATGGGAGTTAAGGATGACATGGCTAGAAGAGAGCTAGGATTTAGAGCTCTGAATATGACTTCTATCCTGCGTCCTTGGCTTTGTTTGTTATTGTTTGCTTTCTTGACCAAAAGCAATTTGGGTAGAGAAAGGTTGATTTGGCTAACATGTCCAAATCATAGTCCATCATCATGGAAAGTCAGGTTAGCGACTCAAGCAGGAGCAGAGGCAGGAACCATGGAGTACAGCTTCTTCCTGCCTTGCTTGTAGGATAATCATACTAAAATCTGTACACTCAAAGAAGCTAAGCAAGAAGGAACACACTGGATAAGATGCTCAATCCTCATTCAGAAAGTCAAAAATGGCATAGACATCATAAGAAGATGAAAACAAGGAACAAGACAGGAGCCTACCACAGAGGGCCTCTGAAAGACTCTACCCTGCAGGGTATTACAGCAGATGCTGAGACTCATAGCCAAGCTTTGGGCAGAATGCAGGGAATTTTATGAAAGACGGGAGAGATAGAAAGACCTGGAGGGGACAGGAGCGCCACAAGGAGAGCAACAGAACCAAAAAATCTGGGTTCAGGTTTTTTTTTTTTTTTCTGAGACTGATACTCTAAACAAGGACCATGCAGGGAGATAACCTAGACCCCTTGCTCAGATGCAGCCCATGGCATCTCAGCCTCCAAGTGGGTACCCTAGTAAGGGGAACAGGGACTGTCTCTGACATGAACTCAGTGGCTGGCTCGTTGATCACCAACCACTGAGGTGAGGGGGCAGCCTTACCAGGCCACAGAGGAAGACAATACAGCCAGTCCTGATGAGACCTGATAGGCTAGGATCAGATGGAAGGGGAGGAGGACCTCCTCTATCAGTGTACTAGGGAAGTGGCATGAGAGGAGATGAGGGAGTGAAGGAGGGGATGAGGGTGGAGGCTACAGCTGGGATACAAAGTGAATAACTTGTAATAAATAAAAAAAATATTAAAAAAAGAAAAATGCATTTCTGTAATAGAGATTCCCTCTTCTCAGAACAGGAAACTAAGTTCCTCTGCTTGTGTCATGTTGGCAAAAACTAACCAGGACTTAAAAAAAAAATTTCTTTTTAATGAGTAAGAGATTTGGATACTTATAACAATGTGGTAAAAATTATATGGTAAAAATGGCAGCATAAATCAATTGTAAGAGAGAGGTGTAAGAGCCTGGCAGAAGAAACATATGAACTTGCCTGCCAATTTAATGAGTGTGTATATAAAGTAATATAGGCACATGTTTTAGTGTATATACTGTCATTCATATATATATATATATGTGTGTGTGTATATATATATATATATACACATATGTGTTGTATACATTCAAACATGCATATATAAAGGTGTGTGTTTATATGGGTTCTGTGTAAGATCTCTATTCTGTAAGTTATTTATGTTTATGTATTTTTGCACTAAACATGATAGCTGTTTTCTTATACATTTGTGTCTATTCTGTCATTATCTTTCATAATCTTATTTAGCTGTAATACAATTGGAAATTTAGGCTAGAGCTTTGTTTTCATATTTTAAAAATAGCACCAGTGGTTTGAGAAATGGTTCAGCAGTCCAGAGCACTTGTTTCTTTTACAGAGTGCCCACATGGTAGTTCATAATCATCTAAAACTCCAATTCCAGGGACTCTAATGCTCTGTTCTGACCTACACAGTCACCATATTGCACAGACACAGGCAATACACTTATACATACAAAATAAAAATAAATAAACCTAAAATAAAAATTAAAAAATAATGTGTACTCACTTTTAACTGGCTTAACTATAGTTTTAAAATGGGTAAAATGTACATTTTGTAGTCTTTTTTAAAACTAATTTTTATGTGTAAAATTGTGTATCTGTGTGAGTATATACTGTGATGTGTGTGTGTGCAAGTGAGCCTATGCAAGCATGCATGCATGTACACGCACACACACCTATGGAGGTTGGGAGGGGGTCTTTGGATTTTTTAAAACTGGAGTTGCCAACAGTTGTGAGCTGCCGAGGCCCAACTCGTATCCTTTAGAAAGCAACAAGTACTCCCTTATCCATATTTGCAGCCCCAGTTTTGAAGGCCTTTAAAGAAAGGTTAAGTTGTCTGATCTACAATCTCAGATTCTTTTGGACTCTGTTGTGGGGCAGCTAGGCCTGTTCTCTCTCCAGAGAAAGACTACAGGACAGAGCGTAACTTCAGAGTAATTTTTCTACTGAACAAAAGATTTGGTACTTAGCTCCATAGCTAGGTACTCTTTGGGTATGGAGGTGCAAAAGTGAAAAAGAACAAGTTCCAGAACTATGTGCAGTTAGGAGACACACCCCTGCCCAACTCTGAACTGTCAGCAATGACATCATGCTGTCGAGAGCAGCAGTGTCATGAAGGGTGCAGACAGATTGCCATTGTGTCACCAGGGCACGTTTCTTTAAGGTGTAAGTGGTAAGTGGGCAGCTGTGTAAAGCTCTGGAGGAGCCTGTGGGTGCACTATAAACTGCTTTCCAGATGGAGGCCTTTACTGAGAAAACTGTCACCAAATACAAAGGCCAAGGAAAGCCCAGGGAAGAGGGTAACCCAGAAGGATAGGCAGCCATGTGGCTTTGCTGTTCCTGCTTTTCTATTGTTTGCTTTGGTCATTTTTATTTTATTTATGTCATGTCATACACAGTGTATTGTTTTTTTTTAATATCTTTTGAGTTTATAGTGTTGTATACATTATGGTTGCTCAGCACACAGTTTCATGTACAGAAGGTACAATGTTCTGTTAAGATACTTTAGTTCTGACTATAACATAGTAAGAAACCAAAGTTACAAGTCTCTCCTAACCAAGACAGATCACTCTTCTGTTGTTCAGAGTGACAGTGTGCTTCAGTTGTGTTAACACAGTCATTTATGGTGGTCCTTCTGGAAGTCTACTAATAACTGTCTGTTCTATCAATTTCATTACAGAGTTACAAATTTTGTCAAGGAAAACTACAACTGATTTTGGATCAGTTGGATCCTGGACAACCTAAAGAGGTGAGTTTAAAGGACAGCTGTCAAGTTCAGTCAGATACCATGAACTTGTGGTCTAGACTGTGATCAGTAGTAGCCAGGTGGTTTTCCCTCTTTCTTTTTAGTTCTTGTTTTGTAGACGATAGGGCTTTATTATTATAAGCAGTCCTGAGTTGGTAATCTTGATTAACTTCTGTCTGAAATAGACACTCACATCTTGCTCATGTAGTCACTTCCTTGATTTCTTCTCTCCTTTTCTTCATGATCAAAAGGGATAAAGCTATGTGTGGTTGTTTACATAGTTATCCCCTTCAATATTTCATTGTTAAAAATAATCCGTTGCTTGTTCCACTTTTAGAAGATGTGGCAAACTATTTAAAGACTATTTTAATAGATAACATGGTAAGTATCATGTATAATGTCTTGAAATATGTATATAATTGTTAGTGACTAAGTTGAGCTAATAAACATATATATTACTGCCCATACTTAGCCTTTAATTTTTTTTTTTTGATTCTGAGTGGCTTATATTCTTACCTGACAAATTTTTAGTATTATAAGACATGATAAATACAAATTGTGTCATACAATAGATCTTACCAACTTTTTTCCTTCAACTGATATTTTGTTTTTTGTTGTTTTTTTCTAATTTTAATTTTTATTTATTCATTTTATATCCTGGTTGTGGCCTCCTTCCCTCCATGTTTCCTCTATCTCCCTGTCACCTACTCCTCAGAGCAGGGAAGCACTCCCTACTCCAGCATATCAAGTCTCATTAGGACTGAGTACATCCTCTTCCTCCGTGGCCTGGTGAGCCATCCCCGCCAGGAGAAAGTGATCGAAAAGCAGGCAACAGAATCCATGTCAGAGTCAGTCCCCTTTCCCCTTACTAGGGCACCCACATGAGGACCAAGCTGTCCATTGACTTTATCTGTGTAGGCGGCCTAGGTCTAGTCCATCCATGGTCCCTGGTTGGTGCGTCAGTCTCCACAGCGACCCCCCATCCCCTGGTTAACTGACTCTGTAGGTCTTGCAACTGATATTTTGCAACTGATAATTCAACAAACATCTCACCAACTTATATACTTGAAACTTTAACAACGTATTAAGAAAACAAAAGAGTCTGGGGCAGCAAGATGGATCGACAAGTGAAATGTTTGTCACCAAGCCTGATGATGTGAGTTCAGTTCCTGGGACCCAAATGGTGGAAAAAGCAACTGATGCCTGCAAGTCCTCCGACTTCACACGTGCTCCCTCCCACATCCACATTCATTTTCATACTGCAAATAAATAAATTATATAATGAAAAACCTTCTAAAAATACTAAATTATGCTTGTTCACATTTTGAGAGATTTTAGGAATTACTATTCTTGATATTTTATTTTATTAGAAAGTCAGTTTGAATCAGAAACTGATTTTTTTTCAAAAGTGATAACAGTAAGCATTTAAAAGTGTTCCTAATTGCATATTTCACATTATTTCATTGGAAGAAATAAACTTGTTCTTTGTTTATTAAAGGGAATTTAATATGGCTTCATTTTTAGAAATATGTTAGTAAAGAGAAGGAAGAGAGGTTTGTTTGAGCTGTTTGCTGGGACCAGAGCCATGTGAAGACTCTAAAGTCTAGTGGGGGAGTTTCATCCTTATATTGTTAGTTGGTAGAAAGAAATTTTATCAAAGTAAGAGGATAAAGGGGGACAGGGCTTTTAAAAATATAGCAATGTAAAAGAATACATAAAAAAGAAATTTACCCAAGAAGAAAAACTCATAAGACTAACGTAAAGTTAAAATTAGCATTTGTTAGGTTCCAAAAGGCTACAGTGAGAATGGAAGACAGGTGTTGTAGTTACTTTTCTATTGCTGTGTTAACACGCCAGGACCAATACAACATATAAAGGGAAGCATTTAATTGGGCTTATGGTTTCAGAGGGTTAGAGTCCACAGGCAGAGTACAGGAATACCTGAGAACTCACATTTCAATCCGTAACCACAAAGCAGAGGGAGAGAGCCCTGGGAATCACAGGGATTTTTTGAAATCTTAAAGCCCACTTCTAGTGACACATTCGTCCAACAAGGTCACATCTAATCCTTCCCAAACAGTTCCACCAATTGGAAAACAAGAATTCAAGTACATGAGCTTACAGGGGCCATTCTCATTCAAACCACCACTGTAAGTCAGATAAATTATTTTGGAAATACGTGTTTTGCAAGAGCCAGAGAGCATATGGGAATAGAAAAATCAGGAATAGTGGAGCTTAATGCATATACAGACAAGGAAAATGATAGCCTTTATATATAATAAGGAAATCTTTCTCTTAAAACGATTAATCTTAATTATATTTATAAAATTTCTCCCATGTTTCTGCCATATTTCCTTTGCTGCTTCACTTAAACAACATTGGTCATATTTTCTTATATTTTTAAGAAATTAATTGAGTTTCCTTTTATACAGTTGCCCATGTGAATGCAGTATCTACTGGTTACTTTCAATCCTTTTTCTTGCGTCTCTCCCTAAAATCGCTCACATTCATTTTTATCAACTTAAAATACAGATTTCTTTGAGAGGAACTATATCTAGTGTTATAGCCTAGTAAATCAGTTTTCATGAGATTCATCCGTAATGAGAATCTCAAAGTTTGTGTCACAGAATTGAATTTCCTTAAATTTTTAAAAAGTTTTTATTAATGGATTTTGTTCTTTGGCAATTTCATACATATATTTAATATTTTTTGATTACTCACTCCACCTTCTATGAGCTCCCTCTCAACCCTGCCAGACCCTATGTGCCCAAATCTCTTTTCTCATGTTCATGACTTTTTGTTTTATTTTGTTTCTCTCTGAGTTTAACTAAGGCTGTCTGTGCGGCCCTAGATTTTGACTTGTCTTCTGCAGCCTGTGGGCTCAGCAGTGGGTACAAAACTGGGTACTGTGCCTTTCCTTCTGCCAGAATCTCTTAGTTGGCAATAATTGAGGTCCCAGGTGCCATGAGTTCCTCTCCCATCCATAGCTGACTGCGGGTGCTTCACAATCCTTCTTATCTTCCTGCTTTCTCGACCCACTGATGTAGTGATTCCAAGCCCTGCAGAGATGGTACGAATGTGTCATTTAAGATGGATTCCTCCGCTGTCACTTGTTCTCAGTATCTTCTGCAGCCATGGGTCTCTGCATCAAGCTCTGTTCACTGCAAAATGCTGCTTTTCTGATTAAGGCTTAGAGTAGCATTTGTTGGTCCATTCCTGGCTGGGCCACTTGAGACAGGTCATCTGGAGAGGGACACTGGCTGAAGGTATATCGTTAGTTATATCTTTGGGTATGTCATTTAGTCTCATCTTTTCAAATGAATTGCTTTTCAGTTTAAGTGAATAGTTACAATTTATGCCATTGAAAACTAAAAAAAAAAAAAAAAATCAGAAAATACTTTTATTTTCCTTTTGGAATTTTGCATTTTCTTGATTATTAGTAAAGATTTCTAAAAGAAACTGGTTATGATACTATTTTATATATTAAAATTCTGCCTTCAGTTTAAATTGTAAATATATTCTTACTCAGAAACCTTTTATTTGCTTTCAAGTAGTAAATTTTTTAATGGGACTTTGTTCTAGAAGTTAACTGTAAATGAGAAATTACTTAATATTGGATTCTCCTGATTTTTCAAACCCTCATTCTAGTGCCCCAAAAGCCTGTCTCACAGGTGTGTTTAGGACTTTTTTTTTCTGGATGGGACACTAAAGATACTTTCAAGCATCCCACATTTTCCTGTCATCTAAAAATTTGAGTCTGTGATGGAGGTCTCTGCTCCTCTCTCTAATGCCTCCTTGTCACTCACTGGGCTTCAGTTGTTTCAGCTGACCAGACTTTGAGTAGAAGCTTGGCCTTGCTGTATTGCTTTTTAGCAGCTGTGAGAATGCAAAGAAAGCTCTGTTCTACCGAAGTAGAGCCTTCTCCATGCGTGTCCCTTGGGTCATAGTACTTTAGATGAATCCTGATTGGATTCTAAGATGTCTGATTAATAAGTAGCCTTTCTGGGGGAATGTAGAAATTCAATTTTGCATTTCACTGCTGAATTAAGTTTTTCCTCTTCAGTGACTAGAAGGTCAGAAAATATGGTCTAGCAGAAAAATGAGAATGTTTGATCAGATTGTTCCAGGGGAGCTGTTCACAGAGGCTGGGATGGAAATGCTTTTCGAGGGCCTATGTGGGTACTGTGCTCGAATTACAGCCACTCCAGTGGGCAACTTCTGGGAGGAGTCCACTGGAAAAGGCTGCTTGGTGATTCCGGTGCAGTCATCATCTGTTTCTCTTAGCTGAAACATAGTCACTAATATACTTATGGTTTCTGATTTCACTACAAAAGATAACCTGGTTTTGTTTTCTCTATTTAAAAAAAGTGTTCCTAAGAGTTATTTTATAAAAGGGCATCTGATTCTCTAATGGGCCTCATTAAAAAGTAGCTTCTCTGGTTCTGCCTTTTAGTAGTATTTTACATAATGTCTTGGGGAAATTGAAATTCTTCTAGCATTAATGTCTGTGTTATTTGAAAATCTGTAGGTGAGATACGAAGCATTACAAACACTCTGCTCAGCTCCTCCATCCGATGTCCTGAACTGTGAAAACTGGACCATTCTGTGTGAAAAGCTGACCACATCTCTGTCAGATCCAGATCCTATGTTCACGGTGAGGAGATGCTGGCAGTTGCTTTTCTAGACCCAAGTGGGATTTGATCATTTCTCTTGGGAGCTCAAATGTGGAGCTGTAGAGTTTCAAACCACGACAGAGACAGTAGGCAAACTGTTAGGGTTGTACCTAGATACATTTGTCTTTTTAAAATCACACTCTTCTATCAGTGGAGACATGATTAGTGTGGGGAGCAGAAATGACTTGGGAACCACTTTTGTCATTTATATCAAAAGAGAAAAGATGGTTGTCTAGTAGTTGGATGCAGTGCAAAGTTACAAGCCCCAGAGGGTATTCTACAGTTCTATAAAAACTTTGATATGAGAACTTCAAGGGGGGGGTGGTATTTTTAGGGTCACCTTTAGCATTTCAAAGGTAGAAAGAAATACAATTGTCAGTTTGCCTGTATTTTTCCTGTATTTGATGGAAGAGAATCATGCTTGAGTATTTTCTTTATTTTAGAAATTATAACTTTGTATACCTTAAAAGTTTCTAGTCAGTCATTGCAAATTGCTTTATTTTGCTGTTGTACATTTCCATGCAGCAAGGTTCAGCTCAATACATATGTTAAGAAATTACAAACAATTGTTATAAATAAAATTGGAGATAGGATCAAATCATTTTGGAGTAGCAAACAAATATGCCACCCTTTTATTTTATGTTTGTGCTGCCTCTAAGCTGCTAGCTACATCATTGCTGTTCTGTAGTACTTTTATGTGTGGTTGAAAAATTACAGATGTTAATGAGTTACTGCAACTATAAACATGGACTTCAAATACTTAATAGTTTTTGTTCAGTGGGAATGTCTTAGAGTTATTGGAAGATATCTTTAGCCATCTGGGGTCCAATTTCCTGTGAAAATATTAGCCTGGGTGATTTAAACAAGGTTATTAATTTTGTTTCTGTAGATTAGAAAATGTGAGTCAAGGTTGTTTTTATTTAATGGAAACTTGTATTTCATTAGTAGAATTACTTTTCTTATGATATTTAAGTGGTTATAAAGAAAGTGAAGGGACAGGCACCATTTTAATGCCTAGTAATGTCAGGCATGTCTTAACTACATTTACTACTTATTCAGTTTATTTTGTGATATTTCTCTTTGAATTTTGAATTTAAAAACATTATATAATATTTTTTTTCCTAGGGAATAGGTAATTTTACTAGAAAAATGCCTAAATATTTACAAAAGTTAAATATGAAGAAACAATTCCTGGACTTGGAAATGTGAGGTCTTAAAATGTGGTGTTGCCTCCTGTCCCACTCTTGGATGACCCCATTAAAAACTCAAGAAACTCCATGCAAGCTTTTAGCCTCATTTCTCAGCACTCACTGACCATCCTTTCCTCCTGCCTTCTGCTCCCATTACCTGCAGTTACCAGATTTCACTACAATGCACTTTGTCATCTGTTTTACTATTAGTTGTGGTTAATTTTACTTTTTGCTCAACAAAAATGGGCCTTTAAAAGTAGACTCATCCGTCATCTGGTTTCTGAGTAGTGTGTTTGTGTTTATTTTCTGTATAAATATGAAAAGTGTTCCATTTATACTGTTGTAAGACGCTTATATGGGATGTGCTTGTCTTGTTTCTGTAGGACCGGATATTAAAGTTCTATGCACAGACTTTTACACTCTCACCGTTACACATGACCAAGGAAATTTATACAAGCTTAGGTAGGTTTATTATATCACTACAAATGCTTTTCTTATACATAATTAAAAATGCATAAGCAATGACTTTCCAGAAGTATTGTACAGTATAATGACTGTATATTTTCACTTTGGTTTTCAGCTAAATACTTGGAGCTATACTTTCTTTCTAGAGAAAATCACATTCTTACTCTTTCAACTGGAGCAGACATAACCAGTTCTAATGTGACCCGCTTACTGAAAAAGGTATCTGCTTACTACAGCGTGCTTTATGTAGAGTGGCCTATATTTCAGAATTACAGTATTTTGAGAGCTTTTGTGCCCTGCTTATAGGTTCGTCTTCTGAATGAGTATCAGAAAGAGGTTCCATCGTTTTGGATTCGACACCCAGAGAAGTAAGTCTCCCAACTAATGCAATGTAAGGCAGGGAGGGGCTGAGCCCCTCTAGTGTTTCAAGGACAGAAGGGAACAGTGGTCTTCAGTGATTTACATGGTTCAATATGCACTTAGTTTCTGTCAGCTTGACCCAATCACCTAGGAAGAGGGATCCTCATTTAAGGACCTGCCCTTATCACATTGGCCTTATGGGGTTATTTTTATAGTTGGAGGTCTCTTGTAGGGAGTGTCTTCTGTGGGCCTGGGCCATACAAGAAAGATAGCTTAGTGAGCTAGAGGAAGCAGGCTTGAGGAGGCAAACCAGTAAGCAGTGCCTCCAGGGTTTCTGCCTCAATTCCTGCCTTCATCAAGAAGAGCTGGCTTCCCTTGATAATGGAGCATAACTTGTAAGCTAAAAGGAACCTTTTCCTGTCCAAGTTTTTTTTGATCATGGTGTTTGTCACAGCAACATTGACACACACTAGGACAAAAGGTGTTAATACAGGTTTTCTTTGGTATATTTGTACTTGCTGTGTAAATGGTTCTACTCAAGTATTCTTTTTATGTCATCTAAAGCATTGTGGAAATAGGATGTTGACTTCTTCAGTTTTTAGTGATGTTTTCTGCTTTGGACAAGTTTCTTAAATGTTATTTTTCCATTCCATTTAAGAAATTGTGATAAGGTTGTAAGAGCATCTTTGAGTCCAAAGCTGAAAGTTACTTTTGGAGACTTGAGTATTGAACTAGAAAGAATTTAAGTTTTTAGAGTGGAAAAACTGTGTGTGGCTCTTATCCTCTACCATTTACAGAAAATATTAAAGAAATTCTAAAGATTACATTCCACATTGTTATTTTTTATTTTTATTTTGATTTTTTTATATTAATTACAGTTTATTTACTTTGTATTCCAGCTGTAGTCCCCTCCTTCATTCCCTCCCAATCCCACTCTTCCTCCCTCATCTCCTCCTTGCCCCTCTCTAAGTCCATCTGACCCTAGTCCACTAATAGGGGACGTCCTCCTCCCCTTACACCTGACCCTGATTTATCAGGTCTCATCCGGACTGGCTGCAGTATCCTCCTCTGTGACCTAGCAAGGCTGCTTCTCCCTCGGGGGAGGAGGGTCAAAGAGTCAGCCACTGAGTTCATGTTACAGACAGTCCCTGTTCCCCTTACTAAAAAATCCACTTGGATTACGAGCTGCCATGGGCTACGTCTGAACAGGGGTTCTAGGTTTTATCCAAACATGGTCCTTGGTTGGAGAATCAGTCTCAGAAAAGACCCCTGTGCCCATATATATTTGGTCATTGTGGAGCTCTTGTCTTCTCCAGGTCTTACTAACTCCCCCTTCTTTTATATGATTCCCTGCACTCTGCCCAAGGTTTGGTTATGAGTCTCAGTATCTGCTTTGATATGGTGGGATCTAGAAAAGATCATCCTGAGTGAGGTATTCCAGAAGCAGAAAGATATACACAGTATATACTCACTTATAAGTGGATACTTGACCTAAAAGATAGGATAAACATACTAAAATCTGCACACCTAAAGAAGCTAAACAAGAAAGAGGACTGGGTAAGATGATCAATCCTCACTTAGAAAGACAAATGGGATGGACATTGGAAGTAGGAGAAAACAAGAAACAGGACAGGAGCCTACCTTAGAGGGCCTCTGAAAGACTCTGCCTATCAGTGTATCAAAGCAGATGCTGAGACACATTGTTATTTTATAAGGATAAGAACATCACTGATCTTACATATACTGTTTTTCTTTCTTTCTTTCTTTTTTTAAAAATTCTTTCCCAAACTCCAGGTATATGGAGGAGATTGTGGAGAGTACGTTGTCCTTGTTATCAGTCAGACACGATCAAAGCCACCTTGTCTCACAGAAGATTTTGGATCCCATCTATTTTTTTGCATTAGTTGATACTAAAGCTGTGTGGTTCAAAAAATGGATGGTAAGGAAAAGTGTTTTCTCTCTGTCATTTCAGTGACTAGCCCGTGTTTATGTGCCTGATGTGTGCCGACTTGTAATTGCTTTTCTGCATGTTTGAATGCTTTAATCTGTACCCATGTGGATGTGTTAGTGACATCAGTGACCTGTTTGGGAGTATTAGATCTAAAGCATGGGAAAACTATTTTGCCTAGGATTTTTTGCCTAGTCAAAGTCATGATAGGATTTTAAGTGGTGATCCAGTTGAATACCCTTAAAGATGAATGGTCTACCAAGGATCCTCACTGTCAGGAATCTAAATGCTTTAAACATTTTAATAGAGGGAACAGGGACTTTCTCTGGCATGAACTCAGTGCAGGCTCTCTGATCACAGCCCTGGGAGGGCGTGCATCCTTGCCAGGCCACAGAGGAAGATAATGTAACTAGTCCTGATGAAACCTGATAGGCTAGGGGAAGGGGAGGAAGATCTCCCCTGTCAGTGGAGGAGGGAAGGGGCATAGATGGAGAAGAAGGAGGGAGGGTGGGATTCGGAGGAGATGAGGGAGGGGCCACAGCTGGGATACAAATTGAATAAATTGTAATAAATCATAAAAATTTAAAAACATAAAAAAATTTAATAGATGTTTCAGGCCACAAGGATTCAGGGCTCATTTTTCTTGGGTTTAGAGGATAATATCTCAAATCAGTTTCTGTTTGTTGCTTCCTGAATCTGGATTTGGGGATGTGTTTAATGCCTAAAGCTGGAGGTTTGCAGTGGAGCTTATGACAGCCCCAAACTGAAAGTGGTGGGAAAGCAGTCTTTGTATTGTCACCGTGTCAGCTGATGTAGAATTACAGAGGCCCTTATGTAGCAGCAGTAGCAGCAGCAACACAGACATCTATACTTATGTCTTCATCTTTCTCACAATGTCTAGGTATTTTTTCTCGGTGGAGCAGAGAGAGGAGACAGGACGTGCTGTACAAGCAGAGACCCTCTCCTGTAGTTCTTAGCAGGACAGTTTGACGATTGCCTAGCTGCCCTGTCTCTTAATGTCACAAGTCTGTGATGTCTGCCCAGTTAATTTGAACACAGCTCTGTCTCTAGTGCCAGCCCCTTGCATTACCTATGTTTGATACATAATTTAACTTTATTATTAATTAAATCAATTTATTTAATTAACCAGAGTCTTTTGTTCCCTGCATTGATACTTTTTCTTAATTTTCTCAAGGATGAAACTGGCTTTATTGATGATAATATGTCAAAAATCTAAACGCACATTAAAACCTTATACAACAAAGGGATGACCATTAAACCCTAGGTTTATATAGATTCATATTTATATAATATATTAGTATGTTTAGATCTTAGTTTAAAACAAAAATGAAATTATATTCTAATAAGTGTTAGTAAGGCTTTCTCACTTAACATTTTGATTTTAAATGCATAAGTGAATGAAACAGATTGTAAAAACTAAATGGTAGAACATTTTGTTTTATCTGTGTTATCAAAGCAACAGAAATTCATCTCAATCTCCTATACCCTTTTTGTTTAAAGCAAGGGTTGGCAGGAATTTTATGTAAAAGGCTAGAGTATCTCTAGCCTTGTGGACTGGACAGTCTTTGCATCTATCTTTTCAATAAATGATAACAGCTGCAGGGTGTTCTAAGGTACTATTCATGCAAATGCATAGTAGGGAGATTTGGTTTGAGGGTTATAGTTTGCCGATCTTGCTGATAAAAATGCAAAGGGTTCTTTTTCAGAACTTTCTGTTTGTAAATCACGCTGGTCTTGAGCTTATTTTGAAGATGAAATGGACTTGCACTCCTGATTCTCTTGTCTCCATCTCCCAAGTGCTGAGGATTATAGGTGTGAATTAACGTGCCTGGCAAAACAGGATAATACTAAAAGTTTTATTTTTACAACAGTGTATTTTCTTTAGTAATACTGAGAAATGGGTTAACTTTTATTTTTTAAACATTTAAGCCAAAGGCTTAAAACACACAGGATTTTGATGAACTCTGAATAAAAGCACTATCTAATGAGATGAAAATTATATTACCAGACTTCTGGTGGAGTTTTAAATTAAGTTTTAATATTTTTATTGTTCTTAATAAAATGAAGGAGCAAATTTAAACATTAAAACTGCCTGACATAATTTAGTTAAAATAATTATCCTTTTCCCTGGCTTTCTACAATGTTACATATGTATGTGTTTTAATTTCATCTATTTTTGGCCGTAATTCAGCTAAAATAGTTATAGTTTTCTTTGTAGTTTTACAATGTTGTGTTTATAGGCATTTTAATTCCCTATATATTTTTGGCCCTAAAGAAATAAAGCCATTTTGGGCATAGCCATTTATTTAAAAATAATACTGATATAAGGTGACAGAGATGCTGTCTTGTTGGAGTGCCTCGCCTTTGCAGATGTCTGTGTTCATAGTCAGTATACAACTGGTGGTCTTGTTTCCCTCTCATTTACATATTTTCTCTTGGACCAAGCACTGGTATGAATTGTTCCCCTCACTTCTAATCTGTCAATAAATGAACGATACTATTTTTTATGTAATTTGGATTCCCGTGATTACTATGAGTGTGATTCACTGTGCTTAGGAAAACCTGCTTGGCATTGACTATAATATTTTAAATTTAAGTTATGGTGTAGTTTATGATATTGTAAATGATGGAGGAAAAATATGCCAAATTTATACCTTTAACATTAGATGCCTTTTTCTTTAATTTTAGCATGCATATTACAGCAGAACTGCAGTACTAAGACTTCTTGAAAAGAAATATAAATCATTGGTAAGCTACACATTTGTTTTTATGATGAAACATAATATTGTAAAAAGGTATGTGATGTCTTGCTTTAAATATGCAAAGTTGAGTGGCAGTGATTAATGTTGGGTAATGAAGCACTCTCTTTTAATGTTTCCTTAAACTACCATTCTAGGAAATGTAAAGAGATACAAGTTGAGTCTTGAAGTAAGGGAAACAGTTGGGAAGTAGTTAGTGAACTGAAAACTTAGCTGCAAGGATTGGCAAGTTTCTGAATATATGAAGTGTAAGTGAGAACTTTGAACTGTGAGAAGTATTGTTTTGGCTGTGATGATTTATGTTTTCAGTTGAAAGTATATTTTTTTGAAGGTGAAGTGTATTAGGAAAAACTAATTTTTTTCTTGCTCAAAAGTTCCTGAAAATAGCAACTGTTATTATATTTTATTTATTTATTTATTGAAAACAGATTATTTTCATGCAATGTATTCTGATTTGGGTTTTCCTCCCCTAACTCATCACAGTTCCTCCCTACTACCCTTTCCTGCTCTCTTTTGTTTGAAAACAAACAGTCATCTAAAAATAAAAAATAAAAAATAAAACCAACCAATATGACAAAACAAATGACCAGAAAGAAAAAGTGTCAAACACAGAGTACAAGGAACACATAGTTTCAGAGACACATATACTTGCACACACAGAAATGACATAAAACAAGTGTAAACAAAACAAAACAAACTCTCCACAAATGCTGTTGAATTTGTTTGAGGGCTGGAGAGATGGGTCAGCCTTTAAGGCTAGGTATACAACCAAAACTTCAAGTGTTTGGTCTATTTTGATCAGCAGCTGCTGGGCACGGTGCCTGCCCTTAAGTGTCATTTGTATACCCAGTGAGACTATTGGAGAAAACAATTTTTTTTTCTTTGTGAATGGTTACCAGCTGCAGATAGCTTCTGGGTTAGGGATTGTGTCCACTTCCCTTTGCAGTGCTGGCACTTCATCTGTCTTAAAACTGTGCAGGCCCTGTGCATTGCTACAGTCTCTCTGAGGTCAGTCATATATGCATTGGTTCTGTTGTGTCTAGAAGGCCTTGGGTCCTTGGTGTCTTCTGGTCCTACTGGCTTCTTACAATCTTCATACCTGTTTTTGTTTGTTTGTTTTTCCAGTGTTCCCAGAGCCCTGAGGGGAGGGATTTAATTCAGACATCCCATTTAGGACTGATTGTTCCAAGGTCTCTTACTCTGTGTATATTGTCCAGTTGTGGATCTCTGTATCTATTTCCATCTACTACAGGAGGAAGCTTTGCTGATGATGACTGAACAAGCCACTGATGCATGAGTATAGCAGAATGTTGTTAAGGAGTCATGTTATTGCTATGCTTCTTTAGCAGAACAGTGGTATTGCTCTTTCTCCTAGGTTCTTGGCTTATCTGGTCTCAGAGTTTTGGCCACCCAAGCAGTGTCATGTGTGGGTTCCATCTTATGGAGTGGGCCTTAAATCCAATTAGATATTGGTTGATTTCTTTCTGTCATAGTTAGGAGCACTGTTGCTCTGATGAAACACCATGAAACTTGGGGAAGAAAGGGTTCATTTCATTCACAATTCTATATAATAGTTCATCATCAAAAACAGTGAGGGCAGGGACTAACAGAGGTTAGGAACTTAGAGGCAGGAGTTGATGCAGAAGCCGTGGAGAGGGTTGCTTCTCATGGCTTGCCCAACCTGCTTTCTTACAAGACTGCCAGCCCAGAGGTCACACCACCAACAATGGGTTAGTCCCTCCCCATCAATCACTAATTAAGAAAATGCCCTACAGGGTTGACAACAACCCCATCTTATTGAGGCATTTTTTCAATTCAAGCTTTCTCCTCTCTGATGACTCTATCTAGTTTGTGTCAAGTTGACGTACTACTAGCCAACTTCTACAGCTTTGTACCACTAACACCCTAGCATATCTTGCAGACAGGTCACCATTGTAGATCAGAGGGTTGCTGTTTACCTTTCCCCTCTGGTAGTGTGCTGAGCACTTTCCTGTACCACGAACACTAGTCAGTTGGCTTGAAGGCTCCAGGTAGGAACCAACTCGAATTCTCCATTTTTGGTGAGTTATGTAGGTGTTATTTTCAGCAATAGGCCTTTTTCCTCAGTTTGTGGAGAGCAACCAATAGTTTTGGCAAAAGTATGTGTGGTTTTGGGGTTTCCATTGCACCCGTTAGCCAGTAATTCAATTAGATGTAAACCACTCTTGAAACTAGAAGTTCCATTTGGTCATGAGAGATGATTAGTTGGGCCTTTTTCTTTCCAGTCATGTGCTGACTTCAATTAGATTATTTTCATGTATGTATGTACTCTTAAAAAGTGGGTTTCCATATAATCCCTTAAATGGCCCTTAGTTTTAACTGCACCTCCTGTTATTTCCTGTCTTATATTCTCCTTCTCTCCCTCTTCTCATTTCATCCTCCCATTCCAGCACCGCCTTAATTAACAATTATTCATCCTATTTTCCTTTCCTAGGGAGATGCTTCATTCTTTCCTTGTTCCTAACTCTGTGATCTAATTATCCAGATTGAAGACCTAACAGCTAATATCCACATTTAAGTTGAATGCATATCATATTTGTACCATTGGGTCTGGGTTACCTCACTCAGGATGATTTTTCTTGCTCTGTCCACTTAACTGTGAATTGCATGATTTCAAGCAACTTTTATTGTAAATCACTTTAGGTGACAGTCACATTTTTCTTTTTTGAAAATGGGTTGAGAGTACTATAGAGAAGCGTTACAGCAAAAAGTGATAGTTAAGAGGCTTGACAGAAATCTAAGAAAAAAATGATGAATTTATAAGTAAAGTCTTCTGGGGTGGAGAATTGGGATAAAAAGATGATTCAGGAATGCCACATTTAGAAGGCAGGATTTAGAGAATGGCTTTTGAATGGGCAGTTGGTGAAGCTTTCATAACAGAATCATTAATGCCCTTTAGCTGAGGTAAGTGATACAGTGGGAGAAGGATATTTTCTGGGAAGGATGATGATGCTCAGATGTCATCGGTTTGGGTAAATTGAGTCAAGGCTGCACACCTCACCAGGCATAGATCTGGACCTCTGAAGTTTGATTTAGGCAAGGTGGAAGTGGAAAAAGATTCTCAAGACAACCTATGGGTTTGATGATTTCCTGGGAGAACTCACAGAACCTAGCAGTTATGCTTCTGGCTTCCATGTATTACAATGAAGGGGAGCAAAATAAAATAAAAAAAGAAAAGATTCAGGTGCCTAATGAATTTGGAAAGGTACGTTTCTAGCATTCTTTTTTTCATTGGATAAAAACAGGCCAGTTTATATCTTTCAGCATTCACTTGTCATAACTTGAGTGAAATTTTGTCTATGAAGGAGTCCCTTATCGACTCCATGCCCAGATTATCTGACTGGGTTTGGTTCAGGATTTCAGATTAGTAGATTGAAAGCAGATGTGCCATGTGAACAGCAGTGTTTGCAGAAACAGTTTAGGTATGTAGTGGACAGCCTTCTTATCATTTTTAGGATTAACCAAACAAAACAGCAGTAACAGAACAAGAACCTTCCTGAGACCACAGCCTGCCCACCAGAAAAGAAGTCATGACCCAGCTCTTGCTTTCTGTTATTTCTTTCTTTAGGGACCTTGACATTTTCTTTCTTTCTTTCTTTCTTTCTTTCTTTCTTTCTTTCTTTCTTTCTTTCTTTCTTTCTTTCTTTCTTTCTTTCTTTCTTTCTTTCTTTTCTTATCAGTTACATTTTATTAACTCTGTATCCCAGCCATGTCCCGATCCCTCATTCCCTCCCAGTCCCTCCCTCCCTCCGTCATCTCCACCGTGCCCCTTGCCAAGTCCACTAATAGGGGGGACCTCCTCCCCATTCATCTGATCCTGTTTTATCAGGTATCTTCAGGACTGGCTGCAAAGCCCTCCTCCATGGCCTAACAGGACTGCTCCTCCCTTGGGGGGTGGGGAGGCCAAAGAGCCAGTCATTGAGTTCCTGTTAGAAACAGTCCTTGTTCCCCTCACTATGGGAAACCAATTGGTTACTGAGCTACCACAGGCTACATCTGAGCAGAGGTTCTAGGTTACATTCATACATGGTCCTTGGTTGCATGTCAGTCTCAGAAAAGACCCTGTGCCTAGATATATTTGGTCCTTGTGGAGCTCCTATCCTTTCCTCATCAGACTAACTCCCCTTCTTTCTTATGATTCCCTGTACTCTGCAAAAGGTTTGGTCATGAGTCTTTGCTTTGAAAACACTGCTAGTTAGAGTCTTTCAAATGCGCTCAGTAGACTCCTGTCATATGTTCAATGCGCATCCCATCTGTCTTTCTAAACGAGGATTGATAATCTTACCCCATGTCCGCTCTCTTGATTATCTTTTTTAGGTGTATAGATTTCATTATGTTTATCATATCTTATAGGTCTATATAAGTGAGCATATACTGTGTTTGTCTTTTTCCTTCTGGGATATTTCACTCAGGATGATCTTTTCTAGATCCCACCATTTGCCTGCAAATTTCATGATTTCCTCCTTTTTGATTGCTGAGTAGTATTCCATTGTGTAAAAATACCACAATTTCTGTACCCATTCCTCCCTTGATGGACATCTGGGTTGTTTCCAGGTTCTGGCTATTACAAATAATGCTGCTATAAACATGGTTGAGCAAATATCCCTTTTGTGTACTTGAGCAAACTTTGGGTATATACCTAGCAGTGGTATAGCTGGGTCTTGAGGAAGCACTATTCCTAATTGTCTTAGAAAGTGTCTTAGATAGATTTCCAGAGTGGTTGTATCAGTTTACATTCCCACCAGCAGTGGAGGAGGGTTCACCTTTCTCCACAACCTCTCCAGCATGTGTTGTCCCTTGAGTTTTTCATCTTGGCCATTCTGATGGGTGTAACGTGATATCTCAGGGTCGTTTTGATTTGCATTTGATATCTCAGGGTCGTTTTGATTTGCATTTCCCTGATGGCTAACGACATTGAGCATTTCTTTAAGTGTTTCTCTGCCATTCGATATTCCTCTACAGAGAATTCTCTGTTTAACTGTGTTCCCCATTTTTTTAATTGGATTACTTGGTTTGCTGCTTTTCAGCTTCTTTAGTTCTTTGTATATATTCGATATTAGTCCTCTGTCAGATAAAGGGTTAGTGAAGATTCTTTCCCAATCTGTAGGCAGGCGTTTTGTTTTGATGACAGTGTCCTTTGCTTTACAGAAGCTTTTCAGTTTCATGAGGTCCCATTTGTTGATTGTTGCTCTTAGAGCCTGTGCTGTTGGTGTTCTATTCAGGAAGTTGTCTCCTGTGCCAATGAGTTCTAGGCTGTTCCCCGCTTTTTCTTCTAACAAATTTAGAGTATCTGGTTTTATGTTGAGGTCTTTGATCCACTTGGACTTTAGTTTTGTGCAGGGTGATAAATATAGATCTATTTTCATTTTTCTGCATGTGGACATCCCGTTGGACCAGCACCATTTGTTGAAGATGCTGTCTTTTTTCCATTGAATGGTTTTGGCTTCTTTGTCAAAAATCGAGTATTCATAGGTGTGTGGGTTTATTTCTGGGTCTTCTATGCGGTTCCATTGATCCTCCTTTCTGTTTTTATGCCAATACCATGCAGTTTTTATTACTGTTGCCCTGTAGTACAGCTTGAGATCGGGAATTGAGATACCTCCAGATGATCTGTTGTTGTACAGGATTGTTTTGGAGATTCTGGGTTTTTTGTTTCTCCATATGAAGCTGAGAATCTTTTTTTCAAGGTCTGTAAAGAATTGAGTTGGTATTTTGATGGGAATTGCATTGAATCTGTAGATTGCTTTTGGCAGGATGGCCATTTTCACAATGTTAATCCTACCAATCCATGAGCACGGGAGATCTTTCCATCTTCTGAGATCTTCTTCAATTTCTTTCTTCAGAGACTTGAAGTTTTTCTCAAACAGGTCTTTCACTTGCTTGGTTAGTGTCACCCCAAGATACTTTATGTTATTAGTGGCTATTGTGAAGGGTGTTGTTTCCCAAGTAGGCTTCATCCCAGGTATGCAAGGGTGGTTTAACATACGGAAATCCATCAATGTAATCCACCACATAAACAAACTGAAGGAGGAAAAACCACATGATCATCTCCTTAGATGCTGAAAAAGCATTTGACAAAGTCCAACACCCATTCATGTTTAAAGTCTTGGAGAGATCAGGAATACAAGGCACATATCTAAACATAGTAAAGGCAATATACAGCAAGCCTATAGCCAACATCAAACTCAATGGCGAGAAACTTAAATCAATCCTACTGAAATCAGGGACAAGACAAGGCTGCCCACTCTCTCCATACCTCTTCTACATAGTACTTGAAGTCCTAGCCAGAGCAATAAGACAACTAAAGGAGATCAAGTGGATACAAATCGGAAAGGAAGAGGTCAAAGTGTCACTATTCGCAGATGATATGATAGTATATATGAGCGACCCCAAAAATTCAACCAGAGAACTCCTCCAGCTGATAAACACCTTCAGCAAAGTGGCAGGATACAAAATCAACTCAAAAAAATCTTGATTAATTTCTTTGATTAATTTCTTGATTAATTTCTTTAGGTATACACATTTTAGTAGGTTTATCCTGTATTATATTTCTGTATGAGTGAATATATACCGTGTGCTTACTGAGGGTGTCGATTGTGTTCAGAAACTAGAATTAAAAGACATGTACAAAAAGCAAGTCTTTGGGGCAGGAGAGATGGCTCAGCAGTTAAGGGCATTTGCTGCTCTTGTAGAGGACCCAGGATCTCTTCCCAGCACCTACATAGCAGCTCATTATTTTAAGGGATTCAATACTGTCTTCTGGTCTCTTCAGGGCACCTGTGTGCATACAGTACACAGAAACTCACACAGACATATACACAAACATAAATAAAACCTTAAGAAATCTGTCTATGGTGAAGGGGCTGGAGGTCTCTGCTGTGAAGAATGGAAACACGATAACTGAGGCCTTCAGGGGCAACAAGATTGTACGTCACATTTTATTGTGACTTTGTTCTTTGAAATTTGAAAAAGAATGATTAGTTTTCTGCAATTCTGATATTTGAGGAGGAAACAATGCTTGATCCATTTGGCATTTTTTTTCTGGGAGAATGAGAAGAAAAGCTCCCAAGGTAAGGGAGCTGAGAAGAGTTTTATGATATTGGGCGAGACTGATTCTGTTAGGTGAACATAACATGTAAAATAAGAATGCTATTTTATTTCTGTAAATATATTTTATTTTTAAATATTTAAATTTGCCTGCCTGCATGAGTGTCTGTGCATCAGGTGTCTATCTCCTGCTTGCAGAGCACAGAAGAATTTGGATTCTCTGGAACTGGAGTTACAGATAATTGTGAGCCACCACGTGGGTATCGAGACCCAAACCTGGTCCTCTGTAAGAATAACAAGTGCTCTTAACCTCTGATTCATCTATTTAGCATGTATATTTTAAATTTTAGTAATTATAGGAATGTATAGTAGTTCTCAATTTTTCTTTTCTTAAATTAATTTTTAAAGTTAGCATGTTCAGTGATAGGATCACATATAACATTTTGCACATACATAACACTGACATTTTAATAGCACTGATTGATTTTTAAATTTTTGGGTACACAGGCTATGTATCTCCTGAACTAATCAGCTGTGATATATACATTTTTTTTGTCAGATAACTACAGCAGTTCAGCAGTGTGTTCAGTACTTGGAATTGTGTGAGGCTATGAAAGCTGATGAAATTTTAAGACATTCAAAGCATTGTGGTAAGTATTGTTTTCTCTATAATATATATTAAAATAGCTAGCTTTATTATTAAAAGGAGCTTAGTAATGGCTTAAATTTCTTAAAATCTTATTTTTAAGAAAAGCTTTATTGTATTCATTGTATATGGTACTGTATTATATAAGGTTTTTTTGTTTCATGAAAGAAATATAAAGTTTATTTCAAGACATGAGTTTTTTAATTTTTATTTTATTTATTTATTTATTTAATTTAACTTTTATTAATTACACTTTATTAATTTGTATCCCCCCATAAGCTCCTCCCTCCTCCCCTCCTGGTCTCACTCTGCCCCCTCCTTTCTGCATGCATGTCCCTCCCCATGTCCACTGATTGGGGAGGTCCTCCTCTCCTTCTTTCTGATCTTAGTCTATCAGTTCTCATCAGAAGTGGCTGCATTGTCAGGGTTCTAGGTTATCTCCATGAATAGTCCTTGGTTGGAGTATGAGACTCTGGGAAGTTTCCTGTGTTCAAATTTTCTTGTTCTGTTGCTCTCCTTGTGGAGTTCCATTCCTTTCCAGCTCTTACTATTTCCCACTTCTTACATAAAATTCCATTCACTCTGCCTGTCAATTGGCCATCAGGCTCAGCATCTGCTTTCACAGTCTGCATGGCAGAGGCTTTCAGAGGCCCTCTGTGGCAGGTTCCAACGTTGTTTCCTGTTTTCTTCTTCTGGCTTTCAGAGGCCCTCTGTGACAGGTTCCTAGGTTGTTTCCTGTTTTCTTTTTCTTCTAATGTCCATCCCCTTTGCCTTTCAGGATGGGGATTGAACATTTTAGTTAGGGTCCTCTCTTCTGCTTAGTATGTTTAGATGTACAGATTTTAGTGGTTTTATTCTATGTTATATGCTTATATGAGTGAGTATATACCGTGTGTGTCTTTTTGCTTCTGGGACAACTCACTCAGGATGATCCTTTCCAGGTCCCACCATTTACCTGCAAATTTCATGATTTTCTTATTTTTCATTGCTGAGTAATATTCCATTGTATAGATGTACTCCAGTTTCTGCATCCATTCTTCAGTTGAGGGGCATCTGGGTTGTTTCCAGCTTCTGGCTATTACAAATAAAGCTGCTACAAACATGGTTGAGCAAATGTCCTTTTTGTGTACTTGAGCCTCTTTTGGGTATATGCCTAGGAGTGGTATGGCTGGATCTTGAGGAAGCACTATTCATAGTTGTCTGAGAAAGCACCAGATTGATTTCCAGAGTGGTTGGACCAGTTTACACTCCCACCAGCAGTGGAGAAGGGTTCTCCTTTCTCCACAACCTCTCCAGCATGTGTTGTCCCTTGAGTTTTTCATCTTGGCCATTCTGATGGGTGTAAGGTGAAATCTCAGGGTTGTTTTGATTTGCATTTCCCTAATGGCTAATGAGGTTGAGCATTTCTGTAAGTGCTTCTCTGCCATTCGATATTCCTCTACAGAGAATTCTCTCTTTAGCTCTGTTCCCCATTTTTTAATTGGATTACTTGGTTTGCTGCTTTTCAGCTTCTTTAGTTCTTTGAATATACTTGATATTAGTCTTCTGTCAGATAAAGGGTTAGTGAAGATTCTTTCCCAATCTGTAGGCAGGCGTTTTGTTTTGATGACAGTGTCCTTTGCTTTACAGAAGCTTTTCAGTTTCATGAGGTCCCATTTATTGATTGTTGCTCTTAGAGCCTGTGCTGTTGGTGTTCTGTTCAGGAAGTTTTCTCATGAACCAATGAGTTCTAGGGTATTCCCCACTTTTTTTTCTAGCCGATTTAATGTGTCTGGTTTTATGTTGAGATCTTTGATCCACTTGGACTTTAGTTTTGTGCAGGGTGATAAGTATGGATCTATTTTTATTTTTCTACATGTAGACATCCAGTTGGACCAGCACCATTTGTTGAAGATGCTATCTTTTTCCATTGTATAGTTTTGGCATCTTTGTCAAAAATCAGGTGTCCATAAGTGTGTGGGTTTATTTCTGGGTCTTCTGTTCGGTTCCATTGATCCACCATTCTGTTTCTATGCCAGTACCATGCATATAGTACAGCTTGAGATCAGGGATGGAGATACCTCCAGAAGATCTTTTATTGTAGAGGATTGTTTTAGCAATTCTGGGTTTCTTGTTATTCCATACGAAGTTGAGAATTTCTCTTTCCAGGTCTGTAAAGAATTGTGTTGGCAATTTGATGGGAATTGCATTAAATCTGTAGATTGCTTTTGGTAAGATGGCCATTTTTACTATGTTAATCCTGCCAAGCCATGAGCATGGGAGATCTTTCCATCTTCTCACATCTTCTTCTAATTCTTTCTTCAGAGACTTGAATTTTTTTCATAGAAGTCTTTGACTTGCTTGGTTACAGTTACACCAAGGTACTTTATGTCATTTGTGGCTATTGTGAAGGGTGTTGTTTCTCTAATTTCTCTCTCAGCCCTTTTGTCTTTTGTATACAGGAGTGCTACTAATTTTTTTGAGTTTATTTTGTATCTGACCACTTTGCTGAAGGTGTTTATCAGCTGTAGGAGTTCCCTGGTAGAGTTTTTGGGGTCACTCATGTATACTATCATATCATCTGCAAATAGTGATAATTTGACTTCTTCCTTTCCCATTTGTATCCCCTTGATCTCCTTCAACTGTCTTATTGCTCTAGCAAGGACTTCCAGCACTATGTTGAAGAGATATGGGGAGAGTGGGCAGCCTTGTCTTGTCTCTGATTTCAGTGGGATTGCTTTAAGTTTCTCTCCGTTCAGTTTGATGTTGGCTATAGGCTTGCTGTATATCGCCTTTACTATGTTTAGATATGTGCCTTGTATCCCTGATCTCTCCAATACTTTAAACATGAATGGATGTTGGATTTTGTCAAATGCTTTTTCAGCATCTAGGGAGATTATCACGTGGTTTTTTTCTTTCAGTTTGTTAATATGGTGGATCACATTGATGGATTTCCGTATATTGAACTACCCCTGCATACCTGGGATGAAGCCTACTTGGTCATAGTGGATAATATCTTTGATGTGTTCTTGTATTCGGTTTGCGAATATTTTGTTAAGTATTTTTGCATCAATGTTCATACGGGAGATTGGCCTGAAATTCTCTTTCTTTGTTGATTCTTTTGAGATTTAGGTACCAAGGTGACTGTAGCTTCATAGAATGAGTTTGGTAATGTTCCTTCTGTTTCTGTTTTGTGGAATAGTTTGAAAACAATTGGAGTTAGCTCTTCTTTGAAGGTCTGGTAGAATTCTGCGCTGAAACCATCTGGTCCTCGGCTTTTTTTTGGATGGGAGACTTTTGATGACAGCTTCTATTTCTTTGGGGGATGTAGGACTATTTAATTGATTTACCTGGTCGTGATTCAGCTTTGGTAAGTCAAATTGATCAAGAAAATTGTCCATTTCATTTAGATTTTCAAATTTTGTGGCATATAGACTCTTGAAGTAAGTCCTAATGATTGTTTGGATTTCCTCAGTGTCTGTAGTTATGTCCCCCTGTTCATTTCTGATTTTGTTGATTTGGGTGGTGTCTCTCTGCCTTTTAGTTAGCTTGGCCTAGCGTTTGTCGATCATATTTATTTTCTCAAAGAACCAGCTCTTGGTTTCATTGATTCTTTGAATTGTTTTGTTTCTAATTGATTGATTTCAGCCCTGAGTTTGATTATTTCCAGCCATCTACTCCTTTATGGTGTGTCTGCTTCTTCTTTTTCTAGGGTTTTTAAGTGGGCCATTAAGTTGCTTGAATGAGCTGTCTCGAATTTCTTCTTGAAGGCACTTAGTGCTATGAATTTTCCTCTTAGCACTGCTTTCATTGTGTCCCACAAGTTCGGGTATGTTGTGTCTTCATTTTCATTGATTTCTAGGAAGACTTTAATTTATTTCTTTATTTCTTCCCTGAACCAGTTGTCATTTAGTAACAAGTTGTTTAGTTTCCATGTGTGTGTAGGCTTTTTGCTATTTCTGTTGTTGTTGAAGTCCAATTTATTCCATGGTGATCAGACAAGATACAAGGGATTATTTCAGTCTTCTTGTATCTGTTGAGGCTTGCTTTGTGACCAACTGTTCTATTTTGGAGAAGGTTCCATGAGGTGCTGAGAAGAAGGTAAATTCTTTTGTGTTTGGGTGTAAGGTTCTGTAAATGTCTGTGAGGTCCATTTGATTCATGACCTCTGTCAGAGTTATTGTTTCTTTGTTTAATTTCTGTTTTGTTGACCTGTCCTTTGTTGAGAGTGCGGTGTTGAAGTCTCCCACTATCAATATGTGGGGATCTATATGTGGTTTAAATTTTATCAATGTGTCTTTTACAAATGTGGGTGCTCTTGTATTTAGGGCATAGATGTTCAGGATTGTGATGTCTTCCTGGTGGAATTTTTCCTTGATGAGTATGAAGTTTCCTTCCCCATCTCTTTTTATCAATTTTGGTTGAAAGTCTATTTTATCAGATATTAGAATGGCTAATCCTGTTTGTTTCTTGGGTCCGTTTGCTTGGAAAGTTGTCTTCCAACCTTTTACCCTCAGGTAATGTCTATCTTTGTGCCTTAGGTGTGTTTCTTGTATGCAACAGATTGCTGGGTTTTGTTTATGTATCCATTCTGTTAATCTGTGTCTTTTTACTGGAGAGTTGAGTCCATTGATGTTGAGAGAGATTAATGACCAGTGGCTGTTAGATCCTTTGATTTTGATATTGGCTGTGTTCATAAGGTTGTGTGCTTGGTTGCTTTTTGTTTTGCTGTAGTAAGGTTAATTATTTCCTGTGTTTTCTTGACAGAAGCTAATTTTCTTGGGTTGTATTTTCCCTTCCAGTGTCTTCTGTAATGCTGGATTTGTGTGTAGGTATTGTTGAAATTTGTTTTTGTCATTGAATATCTTGTTTTCTCCGTCTATGAGGACTGAGAGTTTTGCAGGGTATAGTAGCCTGGGTTGACATCTGTGTTCTCTTAGGGTCTGCATGATATCTGTCCAGGCCCTTCTGGCTTTCATAGTTTCTGTTGAAAAGTCAGTTGTGATTCTAATGGGTTTGCCGTTA